CCCCCCCCCCCCAGGGAGCCACACCAGACGCCAACCTCTTCCACATACACATCCAGGTCCATTCCTACTTCACCAGGTCCTACAAGATCTCCTGAAGAACACACGGGAACTATCTGCAGGTCCAGAACTGAGTTCCTGCTGTTTTTTTTTTTTGAGAACCTACAGCTTGCAGGTTCACGAAGAACTTCAGAAGGTCCCAGGCCATCTGGATTTCACTGACGGATGCACCTCACTGATCTGCCTGGTGCTCATTCAGCGCCGCTTCCCATGGACCCTCCCATTCAGAATGACCTCAAGGCTCCTCGCTCTTGGTTAGGAGGAACCGCAAATCTTACCCGTTTTCTAGAACGATCTACACTTCTGAGTGAATCTGACCTTTGAGAAGCGTCCCCCTCCCTCGCCCATATTGCTCCAGGTCTCCACCAGACGGTGCGCCCCCCCCTGATCCACCCCGCCCCGCAGACACCCTCCTTCCCCCAGGGTCCCCTACCCCACCTCACAATGACATGTCTTATTTACGCCAGAGGATATCGATTCAGTCTGAGAAGCCCAATAAGAGCCATGCTCTCCAGCCCAGATGGTGCTCACCTAACTGATTAGGACAGATTGTTAAATCACCGGCGGTATCAGGCTCAATTAGAAGCTCCAGATGTCACCAGAACCAAAGATCTCTGGCCCTGAAGGAAACACCCTCCCTCTCAATGTAATAGAAACCCGTTATTTTGACATTGTAGGGACAATTTTTCAGGTCCCCGCAAAGATCTGTGGATGAAATAAAAAAATTAAAAATGACAAAAGTCTCACATTTTGTTTGGTTTCTTATGGTTAAGGTTAGGGCTGGGTAGGTGTTCAGGTCATCGTGTTGGGATTAGAGTTTTCCCCATAGAAATGAATGGAGAGTCCCCACAAAGATATAACCTGTGTGTATGTGTGTGTGTGTGTGTTAATGCCCCACCTTGAAAGCCCTGAAATCCTCTCGAAATCAGCTGCCAACTGGCAAGGATCTTACTTCTCACAGCAACAAAGAACAAAGCGTATTCTTTTCTAATACCCATATAATTAGCGAGACAATTACTCCCACTTTGGGGGTCGCGGTCGTGTTGATGAGGTGCAGTCTTGGGGAACAGCGTGCACACATTCACGGGAAATGTTTACATGACGAAAAAATTAGAAAATGAAGGCATTTTAAAACCAAAGAGATTAGAATAACAGATGTGATTAATGGAGCTGGTCTCCGAATATATTGCTTCCCAGAATTCTGCGTGTTGAGGGGGAAGACGTGTTCATTGACACGGGTCATGAGATCATTCACTCACATTTGCATGACAGCACGGTCACGCTCACACAAACACACACACACACACACACACACATAGGGTAAACATATCCTTATGGGGACCGCTCATTCATTTCAATGGGAAAAATGCTAACGCTAACTTAACCCCTACCCTGCCCTAACCATAACCATAAGTAACCAAACAGTTTTTGCATTTTTAGTTTTTTCATAGCAGTCACCGGTTTTTATAAAATAGAGTTTTCCCTTATGGGGACCAGGAAACCGGTCCCCATAAGGGAAAAAAAAAACAGATATTTATCACGTTATGGGGACATTGTGTCCCCCTAAGGATAGGTAAACCCGCTCGCACACACACACACACACCCACACACACACAGATTAGGTATCTCCATCTATGTGGGGACTTCATGGCCATAACCCTAATCCCAGCAATGAC